AATGGCAATGGCAATGGCAGGGCCTATTTTCATGCATGCACAATACACAGATACCAAAGTTACCATCTATGTTGACCTAATCTTCCATTATACGTTAACAAGGAAAAAGAGTTATTTAGATTACTTACCATACCTACAGCTACTCTTTGTAACTAACAAAAACAGTATGTGACCAAATACAAGCAATACAAACAAATTGACACAACCAAGCCACTCTGACATCCTGGGATATTTGTTTTAGCATTCCTAATAGAACCAGAATACAGGTCTTAGATAGTACAGCCCAAAGGAGCAAGAACAACTCTGGTTCCAATGCTCTTCATACCTAACATGGACAGCACAAATATGTTCTCAGATTACCAAGAAAGACCAATAACTAATAATACAGTGACATCATCTTCCAATAATATCAAGGAAGAACCAGAGTAATTTCGATTGCTTACTATACTTGCAACCATTATATGCTTGAAATAAACATAAACAGTAAGCAACCAAACACAGACAATCCAATCTGCTCCATTGAACAAACTGGGATACTTAGTTTAGCATTCACAATAGAACCAGAATACAGGTTTTAGGGTAGTAGAGCCCTAAAGGGCGAGAAGAATTATGGGTTCCAAAGTGCTCCATACCTGAATTGCACAACACTACATATTCTAAGTGCTAACAGCAAAAGCCAAATAACTAATATTGTGCTCCCAAGTGGTGTCTCCACTACTCCAGTACAACACATACCAAAAATAGACGGGGAAAAATTCTCTAATGCCACTAAAATTGCCGTTCAATTCCCACAGCACATGCATTTGGTATTTCTGCTAACCCTCATACACAAAATATCCTGTGGATAAGTAGTGACTGCATATTTTGCAAGAGCAGATGCGGCAGACCATAATATCGTGACGAACTTAATCTAAAACACTGATGTGGTGAAACGGGGGGAAGGGAACTACAGGCTACCATACGACCTGCAGTCTAAACACTGAATCAGTTACGCGTGGGAAAGGGAACTAAACTACCATAGGAACTGCCTTTCTAAAAAAAACTACCATAGGAACTGCACTCTAGCTGGAAAACTGAGCAACCAAACAAAAATAACCTAAAATCATTGAACACAGAGACAACCATGAAACATGTATGTACTTGGCGGACAATCTACGAACCCCAAAACCACGAAAATTTCATACGATTCCACTTCGGCTAAGCATTGCTCGCACGGGAGCACCGAAAGCGTAAGCAACAACGACGCGCCCACCGAGGATCCAAATCGCCGCACAGAAATGCACAGCGGCGGGGCGGGAGCATGAGCGGGGGACGGGGCGGAAGACGTACAGCTGGCGGGTTGACTCACCAGGTGGTGAAGAACTTGGAGGACTGCGCGACGGCGAACGCGAGGAGCGCCGCGACGAGCGGGTAGTTCACAAAGAGCGCTGCGGCGGCGGCCGTCGCCATCTCGAAGCTCCTCTCCCCTCTTCTCCTCCCGCCGACCGGCGGAGTACCCTCCCTGCCGCGGAAGATGCGAATCCGCCGCGAGGAAGCAACTGCGAGGGACGAGGAGGCTTCTGGGTTTGGATTTGATTGGGAGACTCTTACCTACGTGCCATTATAAAGTTAGTACATGTCAAATCATGAATGTGAAAAATCAAAATACCTCGTGTCCGAAAGTTATTTTTTTTGAGCATCTTAATGAGCTCAAATAAAAAAAACTCAAAAAAAATTAAATTCTACATTTTTATAAAAATTATCTTCATTTAATTCCATACAAAAAATATATGATTTAGAAATATGAAGATCTAATGAGATCTACAACTTTCTAGTTTTCTTTTTTAATTTGAGATGGTTAAGATGCTTCACCACTTCTTCTTTTGCTCTTCACACCACTTTTTTCAGATAAAAGCCTCTTTGATTTGACGAGCGCCTCGCTGTTTATTCTTTCCTCGAGACGTATGTAGTCCTATGTTTTTACTCTAACGGTGTCAAATCATGAATGTGAAAAATCAAAAATACCTCAGATCTGAATATGCAATTAATTTTTTGAGCATCTTAACGAGCTCAAATAAAAAAAAACTCAAAACTAGAAAGTTATAGACCTCAACAATATCTACATTTTTTATTAAAAATCATCTTCATTTAATTCCATACAAAAAATATATGATTTGATATGATTAATATGTCTTAGAAAAATCATATTTTTTTTTACGAAATCAATTGAAGATAATTTTTATATAAATATTGTAGATCTCGACGAGATCTACAACTTTCTAGTTTTGAGTTTTTTAATTTGAGATGGTTAAGATGCTCAAAAAATTAATTGCATATTTAGATCCGATCAAAGTCACCATTGATTGCATTTTTACACCCGATGGATATGACGGAATGTTAAACAATATGCGCCACCTCATCTTTAACACTCCAAACGCTCTTTCGATGACATTTCTAAGAGATGAATGCGCATAATTGAATGTCTCTCTTTAATACCTTGCCAAATTTGCGCTTTTGAAAGGAAGTACTTGTCTCACGGAGGGCGGTTTGCATAAAAAGAGTTTACAATATTGAACTAGCAATGACACCTAGGCGCCTTAGGCGAGAACTTAACTTTTTTAATGACTTATAAATAATTATCAACTTTTATAATAACACGCAGATAAAAGCCTCTTTGATTTGACGAGCGCCTCGCTGTTTATTCTTTCCTCGATGCTTGTGGCTTCGTATGTAGTCATATGTTGGCCTTCCCCACGCATTCTTCGATCTTTTTCTCCCGTTCGGCTTACCAGAAACCATCTTGTTTAACTTTTTTTTAGTCGAAACAACGCTTCATTTTATCTCCTCACCGTCGTCGTCATCATCCACTTGAGCATTAACTTGATGAACAATTCATAACAATTCAAATAGTACCACTATAATCATTTTCAAATATAAAAAAATTTTCGAACTTAGTTTAACAAGCTTTTTTAAGGGCTTAATGACATTGTTCCTCATCACAACCTCGCCATAAAAAGAAAATCTTCTTCCCCTTTATTTTTCTCTTTTGTAAATAAAATGCCGCCGTAATACGGTACAGCTCCGTTACGTTACGCGCTTGCACGTACGGTACGAGCTACGACTGTCCAGCCTAGTAGCATTAGCAATTTCCTTTGTACGCCATGGATGCAGATCGTCCACGCAAACGTAGGTATCAACCGACGATTACTCGGATTGTTGCCAAGCGAAGCTCCAAGAAACATTTCTCAGATCGGCGCACGTAAATGTTTTGTGTTCTTCTAGGGCCTATTTTCTTGATTCCTTCGAGTTGGGTAGGAGTACACGTACACAAGTGTAAGCGTCACCGTAATAACTCCGTAAGCCTGCGCCACGTTCGTTTCAGCTGATTTATTTTGAGAAAAATAATATGAACAATTGTGATGAAAAAATACAAATGGAGGCATTTATAAACACAAAGGCGTAACGCCGATTCAAACGCGATGTACCGAGACGGAGGGTTGTTGTCGCCGGCCATCGCTGTGCTGGCCGCCGCGACGACGGACACCACGCGACCTGGATGCGCTTTTGGTGCTCACCCCTCCGTGGTCCTCGATATGCTCCGGTCGCTAGATTTGGCTCGAAGAATATGCTGCGTCCACGGAACTCCACAAGTATGAACCTTGTTTGTTTGGGTTGGTTTATTTATCGATCGAACTCGAGTGGAAATCGCTTTCGCCATTGAAGCCGGTTGTCAACCACGGTCGATTTAGTGTAAAAGAAAAATCGCTAGGGTTTAGTGCGTTGACCGATAAATAGGCGCTCAAAGTTGGTACTTATAAAAGCCGGCATTGATACAGGCGAAGCTAAAACGAATGGATTGTTGCTTATGATCAGTCAGGATTATTTTCTTAACCTGCTGTTCCTACTCACTACAACCAAGAACGCTGCACTGATGTGTTCAGGCAGCATAAACAACAAAACGATTTGGATGTGCATCTGATCGTTCCACCAGCTCACAAATGAATTCATCCCACCGCCGAACTTATGGGCAGGCACATGCGCCCTGATTCGTTTGAGCTGGTCCAAGCGCGGTCGCAGCTGCGTCTCGTCTCATCTAGACAGACGCTGGTCCACAGCCGTGCCAAGAGACCCATCGAAAGACGCAGAGTTTTCGCCTCCTCGGCATGCAATCAATGCCGGACCAGATCTAGCGAACAGGAACTGCAAGACCCGCCAGCCGCTTTGGAACGGGTGTCTTGTCTAGAATGATGGCAACGAAACGAAGCATTGCGATCCATCGTCGCTTGTCTTATAATTCATATTTTTTTAGTAAACAAATAATATTTTTTTTCTCACCACGAATCAGACAAATAATATTTTTAGTAATAGTTTATCAGCCAAACAAGGGGACGCATGGCATGTGGCACGAAACCTGCACTGGCCCCTGAAATGGCATCGATCGTGGCCGCGTAAAGCAACCCAAGTACCGAGAGCAGTGATGGATGAACGACGGATCTGGAACTCTTGATCGCACACAGCTTCTAATCTCCAGCCGTGGTGAACAACATTTTCACAATCAAGCATATACCACCTCATCATTTACAGTGATGGGTGATGGCTCTGCATCATTGCTTCCTGGACACACCTACCATCGTTTTCCCCCCTTTTCTTCGCGCGGCTCCCTACTAAACCTTACCACACACGGCAGAAGTCTAGCCAGCAGCCTGCTTGGTTGACACTTGGCAGCATCAGCATTGCTTGAATAAATATCGCTGTCCAGCACGCATTCAGACAATCAGACCAGACCTGGCTGATGCTTCATTTCAGGAGGTCCAAGCCTGATGGCAAACAACGATAGCAGTTCATGGCATGATGCATAAGCATGTGTACCAACTGCGGACTAGCTGGGAAGAAGCCACGAACCTGTGGTAGCTTTCTATCATTGGTTGCAGCCTGCAAGCGTTCTACTCCGTACAGCACACGCACCCAGTGAACTAGTGAAGGCAACTGTTCCTATTGCCGTGCCGATGAGTACTACGGTTCTACTCTCCTTTTCCCACGAATTTGACTAGTTCGGCTTTGGCAGCTTCCATGACCACTGGGAAATCAACCTCCACATAGCGCCCCCTGCCAACCAAAATTTCAGCCATGAGATACATAAATTGGTGGGAAGGAAAAGATAGACATGAGAGAGAGAGAAGAGAGAGACCAGAAGTGGTTCTTGGACCAGGTGGCAGATGGAAAAGCCGGGCTTGATATGCCATGCATAATCCTAGCAACGGCCCTTGGCGTGAATTTCGCAAACGAATTGCTTTGAAGGAACACCTGTGGGGCAGTGAAGGTGTTGTCATGGCGAATTGCGACAAAGACAAAAATCATGGTGGAAGCGATTGCCCATACCTTTATATCAGCTTGCAAGAATGGGCTGCAGGAAGCAAAATGAAACGGCGAGTCAAATAAAGTTTTGGATTAGAGCAGTTCAAAGTACATGCGGATCATCGTTGTCTGTTTGAATTGGGAAGATAAAGCGCACAACCTGCTCCTGTGTGGCTGAGTACAGTGGTCATTGTATGAGGTGGCGTAGTTCTTACTAAAGTACTGTATGATCTTTTTTTGAATGCACGAAGTGTGCTGGGAGCCAGAACAGCCATCAGTCCTTTGGCACCCCTTGACAGCAAAGTTTGCTAGATCAAACATAGCATCCAATTTACTGATCTGTACAACAAAGCATCAAAGATTGGCTAAGACGAACTAGGAACACAGTTATATCTGCAGAAGTATATTGGCTAACAAAATAAAAAATCTTAGATACTCGAATAACTTCATTCAAAGTTTGGATAAGAAACAAATAGAACACTATTTATGGAAAAAGGGAACATTTGGAGGAGACTTGCAGTGCACCTTTGAATTTTCTACTTCAGAAAGCCATTTTGTGATATTTGCTGAAAGTGCATTCAAGTCATCTGGCTTCTTTAAGATCACATAAATGCAGGCTGGATCTTTTAATTCGTATGAAATTTCTCCAGAGAACTGAATGGAGGAGAAATAGAAATTAAAAAGAGTCAACATAGAAACAATTGTAGAAATCTGAGGCAAAAGAGAGTTAGACAATGGTTAAAAAAGGCACGACACTAGCAAGTCAACATTCTTAACTGCTAAACATAATACTACATAATCAATCTTTATGCTCTCAATATAAAAGGCAACAGCCACAACTCATTGAAGTGTAACCGTGCGATCGATATGGATAAAAATTAATAAAAGAACATGAAGGTGCAACTAGACAACACAGAATATTTTTTTCTGGCTATCAGCCAAACAAGCCCAAGCGAACAGGACCTATATAGGACCACCAGGTTATATCACAGATCGGCAGGTACGGAGTCATGTATATATGTATTTTCTTCAAAACAAGATGCATTATCTACATCAATTCTAATGGTAAATAAAGTCATGTAAAATTTAATGGGGTAATCATTGTTCAATATTTTATTGGTATAACTGTAGTCTAATAGCTATTCTTTCCCACAGAATCCTATTTTTGGTACAGATGAAAAGAACATTCAGACTCAATTGCTGAAAAAAGGCAAGAAATTTTAAACATGAAACGCTGTTCACTGAGTTAATTAAGATTCCATCCTCATGCGGGCAGTGCACCAAACATAACTCCAGCAATTCAATTCTGAAGATATAAATATTCATTTAACTAAAGGTTAGCCTATCCTGCATTATCAATTGTGTATTGAATAATGGTAGGCAGCCAGCCATGAAAAGAATTGATGAACACCTTGACAACATTGGTATTAATAAGAAAAAAGAAGTATTAGGTTCAGGCAAACCTTTAGCTGTTGCAAATGGTCAAATACTTCATTCACTGTGATGTTCAGATCATTAGCTACCTTTGTCATGTCGAAGACAAAATTTCCACCCTTAGTCTCTGACCTGTAATTAAAAAAATGGAGAATCAGAATCTCAGTAGTGCAACAGGAAAAAGAAGGATGCAAAAGCAGATAATGCTTACTTATTCAGAACTGATCTAATTAGTACATCCTTGCCTTCAAGCAAGTGTGGTGACGTCTGCATCGATGTAACTGAATGAATCAGGAAAAGTGAAATAAAAGGAGGCAAGTATGATAGCTTAACAAAATAACGAAGCACATGGTATACTTCTGGTGATTGAATGCCTGGGTGAAGGTGTCCCTTTAATAGTAAAGAGTCATTCTTTAATTACTACCATGGTGATCAGCTGAGCAAACTAAGCAAGATTTTGGTTTGTAGTGTACCAGTTATAACAAACCAACTGCATCCAGAATTCCAGACAATGGGATCGCTCTACAAGCATTAGATGTACCTTGTGAAAATACAGTGTGCAGGTAACACTGAACTGAGGAAGTAAACGGAGATATTGCTGACCACCGATTTCTAGCTGTGTTAGGACAGTCAAGAGCACCTGCAGGATGAAATGATCAAGTTTGATATTGACATCTGAAAGTTAGATGGGCTATTCAGAATTTCATATTGGATATCAAATGCATTGGAAATGAAAAGCACTTTTAGGGGATCAGAATTCCAAGTGCCTAAAAGATCAGAGGTACAGAGTGCCTAGATGTGTGAATAATAGCCTTTGGTAGCACAGGAAACAGCTGTCATGGTGATCATGATTGCTCTATAAGTTGACACCTTATCAACATGCAAAAGTGATTTACAACCAAAATAGTTATGAGCCTATGACTACAACAAATTTGTAGAATGAAAATTTAAAGCTTATGGCAGAATATAGCAACACAACTGCCTGAAATGCAGCATGAACACGTGCAAAAAGAAACTAGGTGCATTCAGCTGATAACAGATAAGGGCATAAGGCAGATGCAAACCTCCTCTTTTATATCAAACTTGCGTGAAGTCGACTCTTTAACCAAGGAGCAAATGCGCCCCACTGAATTGTTGCATGAAAATACCTGGCAAAGAAATTTGCTCATAGCATATTCATCAACACCGTCACTGTAAAAAAGAAGGGTTGATTGAAGTCATTCCGTTGGAAACTTAGAGCAGATTGATCATGTAAATTATAAGAAGTTCTTTTAAACGAACAAGAAGATAAGATTCACCTGTGCGAAAGACTACGGCTCTTATAGAATGTTGTTGAATCAAGAAGTAGATGACAATATGACAATCGCCCATCCCTCCCAGCACGCCCAGTTTCCTGGAAAGAGCACAGTAAGATGTCTAGAGGAGAGAAAAGAGAATGGAGAAAAAAGCATTCCGCATGAAGTATACCTGTATGTATTCTTCTAAGCTTTCTGGCAAGCTATAGTGAATCACCTTTAAAAGGGGAAATGCTTGAATCAGTCCAAGTGATAAGGAGTGTAACTTTGCTTAAAGCTATAGGCTGTCACATTTGAATTTTCTATGCTAATCATACCCCTTCAACGTCACTCTTATCAAGACCCATTCCAAATGCCACTGTTGCAACAACCTTCGGTCACAGGGAGGAAGACAACAAGGTTAGACATCAACAACTGCGTAATGCATTTGATAAAATAGGTGCTGACAAAGAACTGCCATTACCACTCTTATTTTGTTAGAGCAGAAAAGCTCTTGTACACGGCTCCTGTTCTTCATAGGAAGTCCACTATGGTAGCTCTACAGAACAGAATCAGATGTAAAAAAAACAATAAATGCAATAAATTTCAGTCAAGGTGAATACCAACCTTAGCAGTAATGTTGTTGTCACATAAGTACTTTGAAACATAGTCAGTTTCTCCCTGTCAAGAAAAAAAACTTTTATATCTTTGCAGCTGTATCAGAAAGATTTAGGTACTGAACAAATGTATGAACATCTTGAGGAAACAGAAAGGAGATCACCTGAAACTTGCAATAGACAATTATACTCTTCATGTCAACAAAAGGTGAAGACTTCAACAACAGCAATAGATCCTTCAGTCTGTGTTTTTTTAAAAGGACTGGATCAACATGTGCTCACGGAAAACAGGTGGCATGGCTTCTTACATAGTTAAACCATATTAAACAATCCAGTGCTGCCATCAAAATGGCCCACAGAAACTTAGAAGGATATAAACTGACCTACCTGTTATTGCTCGTGCTGATAGACAGCTGCAGATTGTCCCTTATTTGAGATGTTTTAATGAGGTTATCAGATGGTATTTCTAAGGCAGTCACTATCTCCTCCAAGGTTTGAGTTGTCGCAGTTGCAGTCATTGCAAGAATACATTGAACATTAAGTTTTCTTCGAAGTAGTGATGCACGGAGCCTTAGATACGAAGGTCTAAAATTATGAGACCTGCCCATTGTCCAATATCAAGACATAAACATTGTTGAACTAACAATAAGTGATGAGCAGAGCAGAGCAAGCACATAATAAGCAAGAGAGAAGAACAACAACGATCATAGGATGTGTCAAAGAAAACAAGCAGATAGAAAGCAGAAAAGAGAAAAGCTCTGGTACTAACTGCAAAGAACAGCATGCAGTATATCAATTGAACTACAAGGACATATCAACTCACCATTCAGAAATGCAGTGAGCTTCATCAATAGCAACTAGAGATATTGGTAGCCCATCCCTAAATATTAGCAGAAATTCTTCATTCAAGAATCTTTCAGGGGAAACAAAAAGCACCTGATCATAAATGGAAAGGAATTAAGCATAGCTAAACAGGTTAGTATAAACATCATCAACACAAAGGATATATGAAGCACAAGATCAGATTGGGTTCATTTTCAATATATTGAGAAATCTGTCTATCTTAGATTCAATTTTGACTTCCATAATATTTTCATAAAAACATGCTGTTGTGTTAAAATAGCATAGATAGCCTGGATTGCTCACTAGTTAGGGGACCATCAGGGCTGGGTTACTGTAACTAAAATTGGCAGTGGATGCTACATTAGTAGTCATAGTCATAAAACTAGGAGTCAAACCAATGTACCTTTATTTCTCCTCCACGCAACCTTTGTAATGTCTCATGAAACTCATCGCTTGTCTGAGAGAATTTGATAGTGTAGAACAATGATCAGAATAAGGATGGCTAGGATTCCCATAAAAGAATATGTATGCATATTATTTACCTGATTGCTTGCAAGAAGGCCACCTGGCAAAAATGCAGGTAGCTTCCTCAGTTGATCCACCATTAAGGAGAGCAGGGGGCTAACCACCAGTGTTAGTCCAGGCAAAATCATAGCAGGCACCTAGAATATAGCATTACTGTCACTTCAGAACTGACCTTACAAAATCAATATCTCAAAGTTCTCACCACACGTCCACACCTGATAGCATAGTGACTTGCCCGCACCAGTAGGGAGCAGAAGCATAGTTGACTCTCCTGCAACAACCTTCTGGATTGCCTCAAGCTGCCCCTCGCGGAAAGAGTTGTACCCATAGACAGCTCTGAGCAAGCTCTCAAGATTCTGCTCAGATGGGTCCTCTCTCGCTGCTTCGACGGCCTCGAGGACACCATCGTCACCTACTGCCCCCTTCTTCTCCCGCTCTAACAGAGCTTCAGCCACAAGATCCCCTTCCTCGTCGCCGCAGCCTTGAGGTTTCGCGCCGCCATGTCGCTGCCGCCGCCAGGAGCGGTATTTCGTCGGGCGCCTAGCCTGCGCGTTCCTGAACGTCCTCCTCCGACCGTAGCCATTGATGTTGAGCCGCACAAAGTTTCCTTCGGCACCCCCTCTCGGCCGCTTCGGTTGCTCTGCCTCCGCCGCCGCGGGGGCCACCTCCGACACCGAGTTGGGATGCACCCGCTTGGGCCTGGTCTGCGGCGGCGCGTCCGGCACAGGACACTGCGCTGCCGCTGCGGTTGCTATCTCCGTGGGCGCCGGAGTGGGCGCGGGGGCCGGGGCGCTGAAGGCGGCGGCGGGATCGAAGGAGGGGTTGCGCGACTGGACGAGACGGCGGAAGGAGGAGGAAGAGACGGTGCTGGTGGCGACGACAAGCGCGGGAGCAGCGGCGATGCGTGAGACGAGACCGTGCGGGTCGGAGAGCGCGGCGGAGGGGAGGGAAGGCGGCGAAGCGGCGGCGGTGCAGGCGGATGCTGCAGGCTTGGGCTTCGCCTTGGACTTGGGGGGTTTGGGCTTGGGCTTGGGTTTCACGGTGGCGGTGTGCTTGGGGTTGGGACGGGGGTCGGGCGGCGGAGGGGGCTGTGGCGAACGGCCGCGGGGCGGGGAGGCGGAGACATCGGAGATCAGGGACCCCTCGGAGTCGGAGTCCCCGGCGACGAGTTGGGAGTACATCGGCGTGGGTGGGGGGCTGGGGGCGGTGCTCGTCGCCGTAGTCGTGGACGGAGCCGGAGCGGGGAGTGGCGGGGAATTTGGGGGGAGAATTGCCAGGCTTCCCGCCAAGGCAGGGGAATACTGGCAGGGAATCGGATCGCGATCTGCCCGGCCTGCCCAGGGAACGAATCGAACAACTCTCCTGGCCGGCCCAGCCCATCGCCTTTCCCGCTTTTCATGCCATCGTTTCTTGCCGTTGAGTTAAAAAACATTTTGAAGCGAACCGTTGGAACCTGTCCACCTGCTTCGAGTTTTCGACTTGATATGGATGCTCGTATTTTTATGGATTTATTTTAAATTTTAACGGCGCTATGCCACCTCCGACACCGAGTTTTTTAATAATAGGCGGCGTCGTCTCTCGAGAGCGAGACGTCTAGGTGAACTTCGTGAATCTCAAGATCTCGGCGACAAGGAGGACGGCGGCGGCGGTCGAAGCGGCGGCCTTGAGGTGCTCATAGAGGTAGGTTTTGCGTACGTGTGTCCATAGAGATGAGTGTGCATGCGGGTTGTGGACGTCGTCGTTGTATTGTGTAATTCTAAAAAAACATTTTGAACATTTGTATAAGGGGTGGGGGAAGGCAGGGGAATACTGTGTGGGGTTGTAGACGCTTTTCATGCCATCGTTGCCAGATTATTATTAAAAAACATTTTGGTTAATTGTGAGAAAAAACATTTTGAACATTTGTATATGGCCTTCAAAACGGGGACTTGTTTAACTATCATCTTCTAAAGAGAACCATAATTTGTGAGACGAATGGAGTAGTTTCTATTGTGAATTTCAGGAAATGCTATGTTTTTCTTTAGAGGAAAATATGAAACTATGCAACTCTTCTTGGCTACTTGATCAAGAAGACTAGAAGAGACTACATAAATACTCAGATACATGCATTTCTAGCGACTAAGAAGAGAGAATACATGCTCAAAAATAAATCAATAAATTAGTGGTAATGTGAAAGCTCGAACGCTAGTGGTACAAGAAGAGAGTACATGCTCATAAATAAATAAATGGACAGTGCAGTTAATAATAAAAAGAAAAACACTTCGGCCGAGTCGCGACATCCGAGTCCAGTGTGTGTGGCCCACACCCACACGACCGTTGGGCGCGCCTGTCCGGCCCACCTTTAAAAGCCCCCCGCACCCGTCCACCACCGTGCGCACACATCCATCCACCCACCAGAGCCGGTCGATCTGTTCGAAAACGCTTCGAAAAGGCCCCACGACTTCTCCCATACCCACCGCACCGCACTGCGCCGCCGCCGCCGCACTAGCCGTTGCTTCTCCCCTTCCTTCCGTTCCCATTCCCAAGGAGTTGTCCTCGCCGGCGGATCCGAGGCGCCGCCGCAAGAGGAGTAAGGAGGAGGAGGAGGAGAGGAAACCAGAATGGCGTCGCGGACGGCGTCCAAGGACATCATCACCCTGCGGGGCTCCGCCGCCATCGTCAGCGAGTTCTTCGGTACGCGCGCACCGCCCTCCTCCCTCTCCTAATTAGTTGCCGGGGTGTTTGATGGAATATTTGTGTTCGCATCGCAGGGTACGCGGCGAATAGGTATGGTAACGGTACAATCAACAGTGTCCGGCGGGCGGCGGTGGCGGCGTCGCTGCCGATCCATCGCGGATTAGATTCGTGAGGAAGGTTCAGGATTTTGTATTGACTGATTGATCCGGTTCCGTTTGGTTTTTGGTGGATTGCAGCATCCTCTACAACCGCGCGGTGTATCCGGAGGAGAGCTTCACCAAGGTGAAGAAGTATGGACTCACCATGCTGCTCACGCAGGACGAGGGGGTGAAGAACTTCATCGCCAACCTCACCTCCCAGCTCTCAGGTCGGTTTCCTCCCACCCACCTGAGATCGATCTCTCTCTCCTTGCTGGATTGCTCGCGAATGTGCTCAGGTCTTTCGGTCATTGGTTTTGTGTCTCTGAAACTGAATGTTGCAGAATGGCTGGAGGCCGGGAAGCTGCAGCGGATCGTGCTGGTGATAATGAGCAAGGCCACCAGCGAGGTGCTCGAGCGCTGGAACTTCAATATCGTCACCGACGCCGAGGTCGTCGAGAAGGGGTGCGCCACAGTCACTCTTATCCCCAATCTTTTACCCTCTTCCTACGACCCTAACCAATCCATATTAGCCGGTGCTCATTGTGTCAGTCATGGCTTGATTGCGTCTTCTTCTAATGTTCGTCAGGGCTATCAAGGAGAAGAGCGACAAGGAGATCATGAGGGAGATTCAAGCCATCATGCGCCAGATCGCCTCCTGCATCACCTACCTCCCCTGCCTCGACGAGCCATGTAAGGACAGCAACCGGCATCCAATCGCCTAATTTATCTTCCTGTCCTGTATTTCGGCTTCCTTTTGGAACTGGGGCTGCAAGTCTGCAACTGCAACCGTGGCTGACTCTCGTCTCCTGTGCTCCCACGTCGGGCTGATCAGGCGTGTTCGACGTGCTGGCCTACACGGACACGGACGTCGACGCTCCGGGCACCTGGGTCGAAAGCGACGCCAAGCTCATCGACAACCCGCAGATGGTTAAGCTGCACTCGTTCGACACGAAGGTATGTCCACGCAGCAATTCAGAATAGACACGGGCGTCGACGAAGCAGACCCGTTTATCTATTCGGTATCACCCATCTGGTTCTCGATTCGATTGCTAATTCACAGTTCCTGTGCTGGAGTGGCAGATTCACAAGGTGGACACGCTGGTGTCGTACAAGAAGGACGAGTGGGACGAGGAGTAGAGTTTGCACCAAGTACCCTGCTATTGATGATAGAGCTTGGCGTGAAGGCAGTGTGAATCGTTCATTCACGTCTAGCGCGTACTGCACTAGTATTACTGCCACTGCTGCTTTAGGAAGAAAGAAAAGTATGAGATGCCCCTACCATTTTGCCATTCTTGCATGTTCCCCTGAAATCGCTGGAGCCCTGGAAGCTATGTAATTCTGGGATTGAAATGCAACCATTTGCGATCTTTTTAGATGCTGTTTTTACTTTTATTTATGTAACATGTCGCTGACAAGCGCCTGTGCGGTATAACAACTATCTTGCCTGTTTGCATTCCCTGAACACAATGTGCTGGAAACTGAGTAAACAAGATCATTTGATGCACACTCCAATTGCACATTTACATTCTAGTTACCAATGTCACTATTCAGCTACATTTACATATATATCCGAGAATAAAGGATTGCCTGACTTAAATTACACTAAATGGCAGTGCTAGCAATTCCACTTCGACACGATGCCTTGCCAAGGTAGATGATGCAAAAATCAATCACCAAGCGACCGCAGCCCCTGATAATACATCACACCAGGTCGGAGATCATCAAGGCTATCAACGTTTCTATAGCCCTGAGAAATGTCCAACCACGCCGTGAGAGGAAATCTCGAAAGTACCTTCCCTTGTCTTCTGGGGTCTGCATGCGGTTTCCATCACAGAGTTTGATTGTCATCCCTGAAAAAGGGATAACCCCAAACTTCAGTAGTTAAATGAAAAGACTCTCGAGTGATAAAACCCTATGGGATTGTCTCTGTGTCTGGCCCTCGTGTACTAATCTCATCCATGCACACAAATTTTTAGGAGTCCATGTTCTATTATCCATGCGGAAAAGAAGTTTGAAAATAAAACAAAGTATTACTACGTAGTGATTGACTAGTTGCCCATGACAAAGAGTCTATGTTCTAATTTTCACATTTCCCTTAACAAGGCATAACAACGTCACTACATCCATATACAGATCTAGTTACTCATAAAGTAAAGAATTTCATTCCATGGATAAGAAGAGAGTTTACAGGTACCATCATCAAGATTAAGTGTGTAAGTTCCAACTGGCATGTCCCTGTCCAAGGCTCGAACAACCTCATCTTCATCTTCAAGCCAGAAAGCACGCCTTGTTCTTAATCCAAATGCTGATTTGATGGCTTCCTTAATTGCTTCAGGAGTACCATCAATTCCAATCCTTTTAGTGTAATCACCCCACTTCACTAAAATGACTCTCCCACCAAAACTGCCATGGTTATCTCCACCTGTATGTATTTATACAGAATTCCAATGGGAACAATAAATTAAACCAAAAAATACTTTAAAAATACTTGCACTGAACTACCCAGTTTTGAAATGGCTGCTGGAATTCAGTTTACTATAATTTAAGTAAGAGCTACGCAATGTTAAGCACTTTGAAGGCTACAGAATCTTAAAATACAAATTAGAATGGTGTTTATCTCTCTAGGTAGTTGATTTGTCACCTCAGGTGTACTCCCTCCGTTCTAAATTATAAGTCGCTTTGGCTTTTCTAGGTAATTTTTTTTTGCTATGCACCAAAATATAGGGTATGTTTAGATACAAACAAAAAATCATGTACCTAGAAAAGCTAAAATAACTTATAATTTGGAACGAAGGAGTAGAAGTTTGAATGAGGGCAGTTAGTACACAGAAAGTTACAGGTCCCTGCCAACTGCCAAGAACTATACCAATGAAGATCATAGGTAAAACTAAGATAATAAGATCTGAACTAAGGTTTGGTCAAAGTTGAGGAGCTTCAAAACCTTTTGTTTCCATACTGTTTAACAGAACAGGGGGCTAAACCAAATTTAGTTCATACACCACACAGAATTATACTAATTTATCAGCAGTGAGAAGTTAAGAGGCTACTCATTCAGAGGTATTAATTTAACTTGTGATGTGAAGATTAGTACCATTAGTAGAGGTGTCTCTCCAATTCCACGGGTTCACACCATTGGTTGCAACTGCATCAGCAGCTGTCAAGGGAAGCGGATGCCTGTCATCCTCCAAACGATCATCGATACTCAGCATCGGTCTACCATTTGCTAGAAATCATGAAGGGGTATAGTCAACAACAAATTTGCATAGTCGCTACATGAATTCAATTAAGAAATAGGTCGAGATTGTTACACACGTAGGAGCTCAGTACCTTCCACAGGACCAAAGGGAATGTTAGCATCCTCAAAGCCTAGATTGAATGCAGAGAATATTAGTCCATGAGCTAACTGTCATGTGGGGCCTCCAGTACCGACGTTGGCCGAGCATCCCGGGGCAGCAATCGCCAGCACCAAGTGGCTAGGCGTGGATTGCCGTGGATTTAGGCATGCAAGCATGCATATCGACATGGAAGGATTGCTAGAATAAAGGAATTTGTTTCCATTTGTTAGCAGGCCACGGGCCTATATAATTCATGTAATTGGCACTCTTTGGATTAAGCAAGAATTATCAATCCTAATCCTCTCTCTTCTTCCTAATCTCACCTCCTTCACCATTGGGCAGCCGGGCAACAACCCCGACGCCATTACCAGTCGAGGCCACGAGCTCCGTAGCCGAGGACCCGTTGTTTTGGGCATCGACGCCCTTGACAACCTGGTATCACGATCCAGGCCTTCCTCACCCGGCCGCCCACCATCGCCACCACCGCCGTCCCGCCCTTCCTCTGCGCCGCCCACCCCACGCCGCATAGACGCCATGGGCGACAACACCGTGAACAACGCCAACAACGCCGCCTTGCAGGCGACCTTGGACTCCCTGGTCGCGTCCATTAGGACACTCTAGACGTCCGTGGAGGCCAACGCTCAGGCCATTCAGCGCCTGGACACCGCGCGCCCACCGCCGGGCGGTTCGTCATCCTCCGCACACTCCGGGTCGGGGGAGCACCACCAAGATCGGCCGCCGCGTTTCCAAAAGCTCGACTTCCCACGCTATGACGGCAAGTCCGACCCGCTGATCTTCATCAGCTGGTGCGAATCCTACTTCCACCAGCAAAGGATCATGGAGGAAGAGAAAGTGTGGATGGCTTCCTACAACTTGGAGGAGGGCGCCCAGCTATGGTACATCCAAGTCCAGGCAGACGAGGGCATCCCCTCTTGGCGCCGCTTCAAGGATCTTCTCTATCTCCGCTATGGACCACCGTTGCGCTCCAATCCCCTCCACAAATTGGCCTCGTGCAAGCGCACCGGCACTGTCGAGGAGTACCAGGACCGTTTTCAAGCGCTCCTCCCTCGTGCCGGGCGCCTCGATGAGGAACAGCGCGTCCAGCTCTTCACCGGGGGCCTCCAGTCGCCGCTTAGTCTCGACGTTGAGGTCCACAACCCTCAGTCCCTCGCCGTCGCCATGAGCCTCGCCCGCAAGTTGGAGCTCCGCGATCAGTGTGCCGCGGCGGCCGCGCCACCACCACGCCCAGTGCGTGATCACCAGAGGGGCCTCCTACCGGTGCCACCGCCCTGTCTGGCGCTCCCAGCGCCCAACACGGCGCTCGCGCCAGCGCCATAGCCGGTCACCGTCGAGGGGCGTCAGGTCAAGTGCCTGTCGTAGGCAGAGATGGAGGAGCGCCGCCGCCTAGGCCTCTGCTTCAACTGCAACGAGAAGTTTGGGTGAGGCCACAACCGCGTCTGCCAACGCATCTTCCTCCTCGACTTGGCGGCGGCCGAGGACGACACCGACTCTGAGACAGACGAGGCCACTCCAGCGGAGTCCCAGATCTCACTCCACGCCATCGCTGGCGTGCGCACCAGTGAGACCATGCAGATCGTCTCACGATGGGCGACACCTCCCTCCTTTCCCTCATCGACTCCGGTTCGACGCACAACTTCATCGCCGAGGAGGCGGCCGCCCGCGCCTCGCTCCCGACCCTCACCCAGGGCTAGCTGCGGGTCACCGTGGCCAATGGCGAGCGCGTCCAATGCCCCGACATGTTCCGCAAGGCACCGTTCTCCATCAATGCGGAGGAGTTCACCACGGATTTCTATGCCCTGCCGTTGGCTGGGTACGACGTCGTCCTAGGGACCCAGTGGCTGGCAACGCTGGGCCCGATTCTTTGGGATTTCGGCGCCCTCACCATGTCCTTCTGGCATGGCGGCCGCCGGATGCGCTGGTGCGGCACGGCGGCTCCCACAAGCTCTGCGATCCAGGCCTGCATCGGCGCCGATCTCCTCACCGCCATCCTCGAGGAGTTTGCCTCTGTCTTCGCCGAGCCCTCCGGCACGCACCCGCGATCACTGCATCAACCTTCTGTCGAGATCCGCCCCGGTGGCTGTCCAGCCGTACCGCTACCCCACCGCGCACAAGGATGAATTGGAGCGCCAATGCGCCGCAATGATGGCCCAGGGCATCATTCGCCGTAGTTCCTCGGCGTTCTCGTCGCTGGTCCTCTTGGTCCGGAAGGCCAATGGCTCCTGGAGATTCTGCGTGGACTATCGTGCCCTGAACGCCATCACAATCAAGGATGCGTTTCTGATTCCGGTGGTCAATGAACTACTGGACGAGCTCCGCCAAGCTCGACCTGCGCTCCAGTTACCACCAGGTTCGGATGCGCGCCGACGACGTCGCCAAGACCGCCTTCCGCACCCACGACGGCCTCTACGAATTCCTCGTCATGTCGTTCGGCCTCTGCAATGCGCCGGTGATGTTCCAGGCGCTCATGCACGACGTCCTGTGACCTTTCCTACGCCGCTTCGTCCTCGTCTTCTTCGACGACATCCTCATCTACAACGAGTCATGGGCCGATCATCTTCGCCACGTGCGCGCCGTCCTCAGCACGCTCCAGCAACATCAGCTCTTCGTCAAGCGATCCAAGTGCGCGTTCGGGGTCGACTCGATCTCCTACCTCGGCCACATCATCTCCGTTGTGGGTGTCGCCATGGATCCTGCCAAGGTCCAAGCAGTGGCCGACTGGACGCAGCCTCGCTCGGCGCGGGTGGTCCGGGGCTTCCTCGGCCTGGCGGGGTACTACCACAAGTTTGTCAGGGAATTCGGCACGATCGCCGCCCCTCTGACAGCCCTCCTCCGCAAGGAAGGGTTCTCCTGGACACCGGAAGCTGCGGTGGCTTTCGCCGCCCTCAAGACAGCCGTGACGACGGCATCTGTTCTCGCCCTGCCGACTTCAACCGCGCCTTCGCCGTCGAGTGCGATGCGTCCAGTTACGGGCTTGGCGCAGTGCTCCTCCAGGACCAGCACCCGCTAGTGTTCTTCAGCAAACCGTGCCACGCCATGCGTCCTTGGCGGCGTACGAACATGAACTCATCGGCCTTGTCCTCACCATCCTCCATTGGAGGCCATACTTGTGGGGACACCATTTCGTGGTAAGGACTGACCATTTCAGTCTCAAGTTCCTCTTGGATCAGCGCTTGGCCACCATTCCACAGCACCACTGGGTGGGCAAGCTCCTCGGCTTTGACTTCTCCGTCGAGTACAAGGTGGGGAACATGAACACAGTCGTGGACGCCCTTTCTCGCCGTGACACGGAGGAGGCCGTGGCCCTGGCTATCTTGGGCCCCCGCTTCGACTACATCGACCGCCTCCGACAAGCTACATCCACCGATCCGGCTCTGGTGGCGCTCAGGGACGAGCTGGCGGCGGGTACACGCGCATCTCCCTGGTCGCTCCTCGACGACCTCGTTGCATTCAAAGGCCGCCTCTACATTCCGCCGGCCTCGCCACTGCTCCACGAGGTGCTCACCGCCGTCCACGATGATGAACACGAGGGTGTTCAGCGCACGCTCCATCGCCTCCGACGGGACTTCCACTCACCCAACCTTCGCAAGACGGTGCAAGATCACATCCACGCATGCGCCACCTACCAGCGGTACAAGTCCGAGCACCTGCACCCCGCGGGTCTCCTTCTTCACTGCCCATCCCGACGGCGGTCTGGACTGATGTCGGCCTCGACTTCATCGAGGAGCTCCCGCGCGTGGGCGACAAGTATGTCATCCTAACGGTGGTGGACCGCTTCAACAAGTACTGCCACTTCATCCCCCTCGTGCACCCGTACATGGCGGAGTCGGTGGCCCATGCATTCTTCGCAGAGATTGTACGCCTCCATGGCGTCCCGTAGTCTATGGTCTCCGATCGCGATCCCATCTTCACGTCGGCGTTCTGGCATGAACTCATGCGGCTCACGGGCACCAAGCTCCACATGACGTCGGTGTTCCACCCGCAATCAGACGGACAGACAGAGGTCGCAAACAAGATCATCGTCATGTACCTCCGCTGCCTCACCGGTGATCATCCTCAGCGATGGGTACGTTGGCTCCCATGGGCAGAGTTCATCTACAACACGGCGTTCCAGACGGCGCTCAAGGACACGCCCTTCAAGATCGTCTATGGCCATGACTCACCCACGATCTATTCTTACGAGCTCGGCGACACCAGGGTTGCAGTCGTGGCCAAGTCCATGGTGGAACGGGACGAGCTTCTCGCCGACGTCCGCTACCGGCTTTAGCAGGCTCAGGCGATATACAAGGCCTACTACGACAAGCACCCCAGGGAGGTACACTACGCCGTCGGCGACTGGGTCTGGCTCCGCCTCCGTCAGCGTGCCGCAGCGTCCCTCCAAGCTCCGACAACGGGCAAACTTAAACCTCGCTTCTACGGGCCGTACCGCGTCGCGGCCGTCATCAACGACGTCGCCTACCGCCTGGAGCTGCCGGATCACACCCGCCTTCACGACGTCTTCCATGTCGGCCTCCTGAAGAAGTTTGTCGGCACACCCCCGATGTCGCCACCAGCCCTACCGCCGATCCACCATGGAGCGGCGGTCCTGGAGCCCGACCGCGTCACGCGCGCTCGCCTTGCCCGTGGCGTTCGCCAGCTGCTCGTTCACTAGAAGGGCGAACCCGCTTCATCAGCATCGTGGGAGGACCTCGACAGCTTCGTCACCCGTTACCCCACGTTCACGCTTGAGGACGAGCTGCTCATCGAGGGGGAGAGATGTCATGTGGGGCCTCCAATACCGACGTCGGCCGAGCATCTAGGGGCAGCAATCGCCGGCACCAAGTGACTAGGCGTGGATTGCCATGGATTTAGGCATGCAAGCATGCAAATCGACATGGAAGGATTGCTAGAATAAAGGAATTTGTTTCCATTTGTTAGCAGGCCATGGGCCTATATAATTCATGTAATTGGCACTCTTTGGATTAAGCAAGAATTACCAATCCTAATCCTCTCTCTTCTTCCTAATCTCATCTCCTTCACCATTGGGCAGCCGGGCAACAACCCCGACGCCATTACCAGTCGAGGCTACGAGCTCCATAGCCGAGGACCCGCTGTCTTGGGCATCGACGCCCTTGACACTAACAAAAAGCTACTGCAACCAAAAATCAAATAAAGCACAGATTCCAACAGCCACAAAGCATGATAACGAACTATTACTAATGGAGCAGGTAACAGAGACATATGAAAGTATGAAACCACACACCATATAACTCCTAAAGCTATCAGACATGGACACCCTATGTCCCTACAGTCACCACACTCTCAGAAACGAAATCAACTGCATATTGCATATAGGTCATATTTTCTCAAATTACTCGATAAGCTTGAGCAGTTTAACAAGCCCTATAATTTGGACACATATAAATACCAATGGTCTGCCATAGCATACACCCAAAAATCATTATCAAAATAGTTGATTTGTATCCAAAATCCAAAGCTTTGCATTCTCAAAATCTCTTATGTGGAATTCAAGACATCACAGTAATAATTTCATCTAGCAAAGCATGACAATCTCTATAATAATAGAGGCCAACCGTTATCTGTGGTGAACTACAAGTAGGACTCAATCTTGGAATTGGATGTGGGCCTGTGGGGCTCTTCCCGGCAGCACCATGTTAGACCTATAGGATCACTAGGAGCATAGATCTAGCCAGGTACTTGCTGTTGAATAGAATCATGAATCCTAGAACATCTACTAGTGCAGTAACAATAGGTAGAACGAGAGAAAGGAAGGGGTAGAAGATGGACATGTCAAACCTGACACCGCAGTGGAGGAGGATCCGCTCGCATCCACCATGGAGTCGGTGTCTGCGCTAGGGCAGCGGCGGTCGGGGAAGACGGGTGGCGGCGCAGTGCAGTGGTCGCGGTGACGCAGTCCGGTGGCGGCGCGGCTGGTGGCTTCCCGTCACTGGCTGTGCGCCCTCTAGATCGGGTTTAGGGTTTGTCGGTGGGGAGCTCGGCTCAGGCGAACCTCGTGACTTGAGCCGTCGGCCCCCACCTCTATTTATTGCGCAGTATGACAGGGGCCCTCCAGCCATAGTGGGCTGGGCGCCCCTGATCAGGGCGCGGATCAAAGGCCCAACTAGGCCGTTGGGCCCAGTTTGGGTTTAGAGATCAACCTAACAATCTCTCCCTTGATCTCCTACCATATTTCAATTTTATATCATTTACTTTTGTTCATTCCATTACAGATTAGCGCATAGAGCATGTTTCATCGTCACGGTCAATTGTTGATAGATTTAACATCTACAACACACCACTATGTTCTAAAATAGATAC